GTTACATAGTTTTATATGGTAAATGCACCTAAAATCTCTTAACACATTTTCAGTATAGAATATTACTAACTATAATTCTCATGCTATATAACTTTAGACTTGTCCATTATACCTAACTTCAAATTTGTATTCTTTGACTTACTTCCTATTTCTTCCTCATCCCTACCTTTGTTTTAAACTCTGTATTTATTCGACTTTTTTTTTTTAATTCTGCATATAACTAGGACCACAGACTCTGAGTCTGGATTATTTCACATAGCATAATGTTATCTAGGTTCATTCATGTTACCTCAAATGGCAGTATCTTCATTTTAAAGGCTGAATAATATTCCATTATATACACACATACACAAAAGTGTGATTGAAAATATAGTGAATGTATAAATTTTAAAAAATTACTATAGTAAAAGACACATTGCCATTAATCTCCCTCATACACTTCCCTCCCTTCAAACACACCTATCCCATCATTCTTGTCACTTTCTGAAGCAGTTCAGGAAGGCTTCTTGTTTGAATATCTCCAGTTGAGCTGTCACTGATGCCTGGATATCCAGAATCAATTCAAAATATTTATGTACTTTTCATGGTCATTTTAACTTTGGGGAAGAGCCAGAAGTTGTATAGTGGTAGACTCAGTGATCAAGGTAGATGTGAACACACCATAATGTTTTTATGAGCCTGCTTTTCTACTGGATATTACTTGGCAGCAGCACTCACCATATTTTTGATCACATCTCATAACGATACATACACACACCCACACCAATACACATATACATGCACGCCTCACAATTTTTTCATCCATTAAAGTCACCTTCACTACACCTCAGCTCCTTAACTCTTACAACAGTGCTATACCATCATTTATTTATTAAAATCTCTATAGAACTTGATGTTTCAGGCATGGTGCTTGTTAATGGAAATATGATGTATGAATATTGTATGTAGTTATTGTTTCTGCTCTCAAAGAATTTCTAGTTCCTTTTTAATCTGGAAATATATTCTTTGGTTCTGTACATTCTTAGGGTGGGACTATTTAGAACAATGAAGTGTATGGGAAGTAAAAGAATTTCTGCCAAGCCTTGTAGATCACATGATACCACACTGGGCTGACAGAGGTCCAAAGCCATATTTGTCTTCAAATCCCCCTTAATGCTTTCTGTCCTTTGTTGTCTGCAGGCTGGTGATGAGGATTATAAGGATGGATTTATGTGCATGTTCTTTGCAAACTGTAATGATTCCACAAATGTAAGAGTATTACAGTTTTTGTTTTATGCTCTGGAAATTAAAAGCAAATTACTATGTTTCACATAAGTTCTAATATAATGTACTCACAAGTTTCATGGCAGTTACAGCAGGACCTTGTTTTAAAAATCAATACCATTACACTATGCCTGAGTTTGACAGGCCCACTTCTATAGCATCACAAGCTGACCAATAAGGATGGCTATTTCCAACTGAAGGGGCTGGCACTTGACAAATATTAGTAAAGAGTGCTAAAAACAAGGCATTTTACTGGACTCACTTTCAATACCTACACCAGAGCCTGCATGTGTGCATGCATGTGCGCGCGCACACACACACACACACACACACACACACACTCCTTCAGACAGCAGTGACATGAAGAAGCCAAACAGGCCTGATCAATGCTCTCTACCTTTCAAAAAACACTTGGGGATTTCTGCTTGAAGCCCTGTCTTTTTAAGCCCATGCTTTCAAAATGTGGACTGGACTGATCCCAAATACTGAAGTAACAAATATTACTAAATTCTGTCATTTCCTCTACCAAAAAGTGATTTTACTACTACTTCTGGTTGTGATGAAAGGTCTTATTGACTATTCAAATCCTCAACCAAGTTATGGATGCAGTATTAAATGACTTCACTCTCATTTCTCTGGAACTTTAACACATGCCAGTGCTTTCATCCACCTCCACTAACATGGCTTGTAAATTACTGAGGTGGAGCCATTTTAATAGTATGATTTGTTCACATCTCTATAGATGAGGCACAAATATGACTGGCCAAGAAGACAAACTCCCTTTTGACAACATGTATTAGGATATACAAATAAGCCTTCAAAAGCTGGAAATATCTTATTGCTATACTACTTGGTTAGGAGCCATAATAATTAATGTTCATTTGATTTGTTACAAAAAAATGTGATAAAGTGATGGTAGTAAGGCCAAAAGGCAAAAAGAAACCTTCCCCAAGAAAGGTCACATACTTGCTAAATGTTTCTATCTAAATGCTTAAAATGGTTTTCCTGAATAAAGTTTTGAAATCAAAGAAAGTCTGTTTTGAAGAAGTTTATTGTCCCCTTTTTAAAACTGCCACAACAGTGTTGAAAAAATACCAGTGAGCAAGATACTTGATTCCTGTGGAATTTGAATGGTTAACCTATTGATTGAACAGTCATACTGTGCTACAGCTTTTCATCACTGTGCTCAAATACCTGAGAATAGGTATTATTAAACTTAAATGAAGAAAAATTTATTTTGGCTCAAAGTTCCAGAGATTTCAGTCCATGGTCAACCAGTTCCATTCCTTTATGCCTGTGGCAAGGCAGAAACATCACTGTGGAAGGATGTAGCAGAAGAAAGTTGCTCACCTCAAGGCAGCCAGGAAACAAAGAGAAGGGGATGAGCCTGCAACGAAGGGGACAGGGATCCTCTAAGGTCATGCCTTCACCATCCATTCCCCTCAACTAGGCCTCACTTCCTGTTTTCTTCATCTCCCATAATGCCAAATTATGATCTAATCTATGTGTTAATCCACTGGTGAAATTAAAGTCCTTCTGATCTAATCACTTTCCCAGAGTCCATCAGCAACCAAGTCTTCAACACAATAAGCCTTCTGGGGACATTCTGGATCCTAACTATAACACACAAGCGTGAACACACACACATACACAACATGTGCATGTACACAATCTTGCAATTTACAAAAAAGAATATAAAGTTAAAGAGGACACAAAATTCCTAGAAGCAATCTACTTATTAAACAGATGAATAAAGCTAGTTAAATATCTTGTGGCCTTCGTTCAATTAAGATGAAAGATAGAGGCCACTTGGGAAGTCCTCCCATGTGGGACCAAACAGGTGCTAGAACTAGGAGTCTGATTTGGGGCAGTCTTTCCTGTTTTCCAGTGCACATAGCCTCCACTTAGTCTTATTCACAAAGCGAGGTGGGCTATTCTCATCACCTTTTTATAGCACCGTTTGCACTTCTATTGGGCCATTGGGGAGACAGCAGTAACTGTGTACAAGCATGTGTATATATGTGTGTGCATATGTACACATGTGGGGGGTGTGTGTGTGTGCGTGCATGCATTTATCTGTGTTTTGGAAACTGGGATTTATAAGCAAACTCAGGAATTTCAGCAGGGCCAGGTTTCACTTGGAAAATCCAACAGTCTTTCAACCTTAGAAGCTACATGCATGAAGCAAGAAATAGAAAATGGGGAAAGGAGAAAAGACTACCAGAACTGAGATCAGTACTTATTTCTAGTAAATGATATCCATATATTTCCCCCTACCTGACTGTAGACCCCATCATATCCATGTGTTCTTTCTACCGTGGCTGACTTCATTGGAGGTGCTACCTAATTCACTTACTAATTTATTTCATCATCCTTAATGTGGTTTTAGTCTGGGCACTTCTTAACTAGTTCTGTCAAAGCGCTGCCTTTTCCATGGCACAACACAACTGTGATCAGTACAGTGTGGGCTACGTAGTTCTGACACTAAAGTCCTGTTTTTGACTGGAATTCCTAACTGTCAAAAAATGAGGGATGGAAAGCTTCCATGGTGAGAAGAATGGCACATGAAGAGGTGAGTCATGGGCCATAGCCTGTGAGCAAGGGTGCTTGCGTGGAGTGAAGAACATGAGCTGGAGGGAAAGTAACAGTAAAGAGCAGCATGACTGAGAGGATGCTGAGTGTGGGGTTAGGAAGCAAATGATTAATTCAGTACTGAAAACTAGAAATTTGATCCAATTTCAGAAAAGGATAACAATCTTAATAAAATCCAGATTAAACAAAAACAACATTCAACTGAGATTTGTTGAGGGGAAGAAAGGTGAAGATCACACACTATATGAAGGAATAATTCTAGATTGTCCCGACATGAATAAGGAAATCGTTCAGCAAGACTTCAGATTTATACAGATAAAGGCAACTTTATCAACTCAACTCAAGGCAACTCGAGCTCATAAAAACAAAAGCATTATAAACCTTATTATTTCTATAAAACAGAAAGTTCTAAGGATACAGCTGATAACATCTTTAAATAATAGCCAAGCTGTGGATACTCATCCATGAGATATTCCAAGTGGAAGGATGTCCAAATAAAAACAGATCATTGAAGCTGGTCTTCCTTTATCACTAGAAAATTTATGGAATGTCCATCTCTTGAAGTAGAGCCAAGTGTACTAAAGAAACTGTCATATTTCGTTCAAGAAAATACAAATCCAGGCATCTGATACTCTTACTATGACATGTAGAAAAACATTATTCAAGTGGGACACTTAATGATACAATGTTGAAAGACCTACAAAAATCCAAGATGGGTTGGATAGAACATGTGCTCAATCTTTTTCCTTTGGGGCCTAGATAATGAAGTGAGGAGACTATTAAGGACTTGCCAAAGGCACTGAACTTTTACTCTACAAACAACAATGGAAAGCGAGTCCCTAGAAGTGGTCTAAGAGAAGAAAGTTATTACCAATCAAGCTGTAGAGCAAGAGTTTATAAAGACCACACATTTAAGTACAAGCCTACCAGCAGGTAAGAAGACAGAAAAGAGCTTCTGAGTTCAGCAGGAGGATTCCAATTTGTACCCATTGCTTCTCTGTAGTCACACTGACACAGAATTAAGACTGAAGCCAAAAAAGAACCTTGCATTACTAATGTACCTGGTCAAACAAAAGACTCAATTGTAGTACTTAAAGAAAGAAGGTTAACAATCCAAAGTAGAGGAGTGAAGAAGAGTTACTTACCTGTGCTATATTTTTGTTTAGAAGGTAGACACCATAATCAAACTGCAACTTCTCTCCTCCTTTTGGATATAGTGGGAACCTATGAAAGGTAAAGAAAGATCAGAAGTTTTCCAAAACTGAGTAAATATAATTTACAAGCTATTGACTGAGGCTGAAATTTCTTAAATATAGCATAAACATCTTAGGATTGGACTAAATCACTTACAGTCACTGCGATCTACTAACAACTCTGTAGTAATAGCTAAGTTGGGACAATGTCTGCTTTCATCAAAGGAAAAACTGAACAGGTCATGCAACAAGAGATTAATATATATGGAAGTAACCTACCTACTCCAAGTGGTTGAGACCACTGCTTCCTATTTACAAGTCATAAACTTGCTACCCTACATTAAGGTCTCAAAAGTTTTTTCCTCTAATACTTTGACTCTGACATCTCAACTTCTCTTTAATGGGAGAGGAAGGTTAAAGGGGAAAAATCAGACTGAAAAGAAAAATATAAGACTTCTATTAGTGTAGGCAGTCAGATAAGTGCCAATATCGGGTAAAATTCATTTAAAAATTAACCACATTACAGAATTTGGAGGCACCGCAGCAATTTACTTATGCCACAAAGCTCCCGCACATCACATTACTTCACATTGTGACCTGACTCACTGATGAACAAAGACACAGAACCTGAATCTTCACAGATGAAGAGGTATTTTGGAGAAAAGTCTCCCTCACTATTTCCCTCTTCTCACCCTTCCAAGTGAAGAAGAAAAGGTTAGTGCATACCTGTGTTCTAGTCTTTTTTATTTTCTAATTCTTAAGATCAAATATAAGTATCATCTTAAATATTTCTTTACAAACAGATCAATCACCACTTAGGGTCATGAAGAAAAATCATTTTCCTTAGTTTTGCAACATATAATTATGCTCAAGAATAAAATAATCTTAGCTGGACATGGCAGCACATTCCTGTAATCCCAGCACTCTAGCAGGCTGAGGCAGGAGGATCTGAAGTTTGAGCCCAACTTGGGCAACTTACTGACTTAGCAAGATCGTAGGCTCAATCACCAGTACAAAATAAAATACAATAAAATAGCTGAAGTGAATGGTAGGTGACAATTACTAGATAGTCTTAATTCAATTTTCTTAATGCTTGAGCAAAAGAGGCATTCCCTAAAGCTTGTAGGATAGCATTTTTCAGGGAAAAAATTTTAAAAAGAAACAATTTAACCTTATATTAAATTTACAAGAATTGCTGGCTTTATGGTATCCAAAAGGTAAATCTGGTTGTGCTGTAAAAGTATAGGCACTGGGGAGTGAGCAGGGTCATGAACTAAAAGTTATTAAAGGAAACCAAATGCTTTAGACACCCATCAAGAAGATACAGCTTTGTATTTAATTGAAACAGTAAAACATAAAACTAGGACATGTGTTTGGCGCCAAATTGAGATGAATAAAAATGACAGCAAAGCAAATTTAGAGTAAGCAAAGTGCAACACTAGGTTTTTGCAAAGTGTCTGGGAATCATTCAGACTCATATGGATAGTATGCAAAGAAATCACATATGTGCAAAAATATAACAGAACACTTTAGAAGAATCTACTAGAGTTGCTATACTATAAGCCATCACATATAGACTATCTGAACAGCTCTCCAAACCCAGATGATCTTCATTTTCAAGTTATAAATCCAGAGACTGTTTCATATGTGGAAGGGTAAATTGAGATAAGCATACATTGAAAAGTAAACCTCTACATTCATGAAAACTGGATCTCACAACATTTGACTTTATTATGACTTCACTGGGACTTTTGTTGGAAAGAGCCACATCAAAACAAATCTAAAGAGTGATTAGAGCCAAAGGTTCATATAGAGCAATGTTAAGAAAAGATCAAATATTAGCATTTTATGTTGCTTTCAAATTCTTAATGGGTGACTTCAAGTTGAACATTTTAATAGTTTGTAACTATGACACATTTATCTTGCTTTGCAAAAGTATAAGGATTTAAAGATCTATTAAGCAATCAAGAAAAAAATGGAATTTATTTTAAAGGGTAAAACCTATTACCATCAGGACATAAGATACAAATAAAAGGTGTTTTATTTCAATTATAGATGAAGAATCACATGAGCAAACTGTAGAAAGCTTAGATAAGAATGTGGTCATTCAAATACAGTATAACTAGAAAAATCTCCCTTAGCACTGGACTCAAGCAGGACTCAATAAATGAAAATATTACATTAAGTGGGTGATAAATTATGTATTCCTATTAATATACTCAGTATAACCTATTAATATTAAATGGCCAATATTATTTTTCAAATTAAATTAAGTTTCCAAATTATTTGAAAGCTTCACTGATTGGGCACGGTGAAAAGTCACTGACATAGAAAGCAACAAATAGAGGTGTGTGAAATAATCCAATCTGAGTCTTATTGTTACTGTACTTGACATTTGGTAATAAAGAGGTTGCAGACCACCAACCTTAATTACTGGAACATACCTTTATCTAGCCTACATAATTTTAGGACTGGGAACTGTACAACTGGCTTAAATCTGTTTGAAACCTTTCCTGTTTTGAGTCTATCTCAGCTTGTAATTTTACACTGTGATTATTTGGTTAATATGTGTCTCCCGTTGGCTGGAACAGGACAGGAATAGTTTTATTTTGTTCCTCTTTTGTCTTGCTGGTTGTGTCTAGCACTGTTACAAATAGACACTTGATAAATATTTTTTATGTTAAAAAATAGACTCTGTAAAAGATTTGGAGCTCTTTATACTGCAATTTCAACATGAATGAAAATTATGACATAACTACCAAAAGCTAACGTGATCCCAGACTACATTAACAGAAGCAGAGGAGCTAAACTGAGAAATGTGCTAGTGACAACTACTTTGTAACAGTGTTACTATTATTTAAAAGAAACTGGAGCTGAGCCTTTCCGGAGGCTGTACCACCGCCCCCAGCAACAAGGAGCAGAGCCCCCACAGCCCACTACCTAGGAAGTGAGCCACAGGCACCAACAGCACACCCTCCCTCCCACCCCACTGAAATGAGAAGACACGTAAGCAACTCTCAAAACCAGACTTCCAGATCACCTAAAGCAACCCCAAAGGAAAACGACATGGAACAATCTGATACTTAACCACCTGGACTCCCTGAACTGGCAACAAAAGAGGATCTGAAAAAAATGAAATCAGAAATAATTTCTCAAACAACAGCAGAGATTCTG